GGTATTGCGTTGAATCTGTGGATTGCCTTGGGTAGGATGGACGTCTTAACAATGTTGATTCTTCCTATCCATGAGCATACCCTAAAAATGATTATTTGGAAACACAATTTATTATTTATAATGCATATCTGATGAAGGGTTGTGTGCGTTTGCCCATTTATTTTCTCCTTCAACAAGTGTTTATTAGTAACAAATTCCAGGCAGAGTGCTAGAATGCAAGGATAAAATATATTTTCTGTCATCAAGGAGCTTAAAATATGGTATCGAGCTACTAAATAATTGTCATATAGTTTGAAAAGGAAAATGACAAAGGTATGTATTAAAGTGGTAGCACAAAAAAACAGAGCCCATGTGGCACCTGGTAGATTGGAGAATATTTAGAAGAAAAGGGGATTCTTGAGTTGGGTATTGAGCGTGTGAGCTTAACATACAGATGTAAGGGGTAGTGACTGATGGAAAGGCATGTCTAACCCAAGGAACAGTCTGTATCAGAGCTAAGAGGTGAAAAAGAGGACATGTGGAAGTTAGTTTGGAATGGCTGGAGCAAGGGTGGATGTGGAGGAGCTGTAAACTATGATCACAGAGGCAGGGGCCTCAATACCGAGGGCCTTTTCCAGCCTTACTTCAGACTGTTTAAAAAGTGGAAACTCTGGAGGTGGTCAACTGCAAGTGTGTGTTTATTTAGAATTGAATGTTGGTTTTAGAAAGGGTGAAGCTGGAGAAAGGGAGACAACTGGCAGACTGTTTAAGAAGTCAAAGCAAAAGAATGTGAGGGCCTGAGGAAATGTGGTAGACATGGGCAGAGATGAGAGAGAAATAGGAGATGACTAAAATAATTTTAACAACCTGTTGAACCTTGGGAAACACTGACATTTAAATGTGGTTGGAAGCAGATAAGGAGAAAAGGAGGCATTTGGGAAAAGCAGAAGGAGCTGGCCAAGCAGCAAAAACTGAACCAAATGGAGTGTGGCATTCCACATCACCCATGTCTCAGCCTGGCACATAGGCAAGGGATTAACAATTACTGTACATTCATTCATTCATTCATTTGACAAATATTTTTTGAATGTTGATTGTGTGTCAGGCTCTGTCTTGGTGCTATACAGAAACGAGTGAAAAATCAGGAGGAGAGACAAATAATACAGAAGTAAACACACAGAAAACAAGGTAATTTCAAGTAACTATAAATAATAAAATGAAAGTGAAACAGGGTTATGTGACAGCATCATTGAGAGGGTGGGTGCTAACATAGACTAGATGACCAGGGAGGGCCTCTCTGAAAATGTCGAGAATGGAATAACCCATGGAAAGATCTGGAGCAGAGAATTCCAGGCAGAGAAAACAACTAGTTCCCGCAGAGGAAACAAGTTTAAAGGAAAAAAGGAGGGGTGGTGAGGAGGAAGGGTATGAGCTGGAGGGAGTGAATGGAATGAGATGGCTTGAAGAGAGACTGAGACTCAGTCACTGATGAACTGTGGTGAACAACTTGGATTTCATTCTAAGTGCAACAAAAAACATGGAAAGACTTTAGGTATGTAAGGGACATGATCTGATTTATGGTTTACTCTGGCTGGTATAGAAGAATGGATTATCGTGGAAGGCTGGAAATCACTTCAGCAGGTGAGAAACGATGGTGGCCGAGTTTTGGGGTTTGGAAGCAGAAATGAAAGAGATTGTGGATATATTTTAGGAACAGAGTTAACAGTATGGGCTGATGGGTAGGAGTTTGTTTAAGTACTACTGAGTGGAAGATGATGCCATTTACTGAGATGGTAGAAGATTTGAGAAGTAGAGGCCGAGGGTCAACAGTTCTATTTTTATTTGTTAAACTTCAGGTGCTTGTCATATGATGATGTCAAATAGGCTGTTGAATAGATTCATTTGGAGTCCAGGGAAAGATGTACACTTGGGATTTGATAGAGGTTATCAAAACTATAGAACTAGATAATGTTACCTATGGGGAGAGTGATGATGACACAAAGATGGGGCACCAGGACACGGCCTACATTCTCCAATATTTAGCATTTGAGCAGGAGGAAAGGGTTCAGCAAAAGAGACTGACATGGATTTTTCTGTGGCATATGTGGAAAATAGGGATGGTAATTGTATCATGGAAGCCAAGAGGAGAAAACTAGAGGGAACAGTGATCAACTGGGGTAAATGCTGCTGAGAAGTGGTGTAAATTGAAGACAGTTTCAACACCACTGGTGACTTTGACAAGAGCAGAACCAGTGGTACAAGGGATGGGAAACCTGATTGGCATGAATTCAGGAGAGGAGGAGGCCTAGAAGCAGAGGCTGTGTCTTTTAAGACATTTTACTGTGAAAAGAAGAGGATAAGTTGAATGTCACTACTGTTTATGAATACTATCCTGTGCTAGACACTTTTTGCAGATGTTATTTACATTTTTCACGACTTTCAAGTTATTTTTTATTTTCATTGCATAGATAATTAAACAGAGGACCAAAAGGCTAAATACACTTTCTTAAGGCTACATTATTAGCAATTGCAGAACTGGAATTCAAGCCTAGGTTCATTTTGGTTCAAGTCCAATCTTATTTCATTAACTGTGTTCCCACGAGAGTAGCAGATAACTCCACTGGCATGATTTTCAGGGATTTAAGAATTCCCTCTCAATTTCTGGCTGGGATTTTTTTTTTTTTTTAAACATATGGTCTTCATGAAATTTCACTAATAAGGACTTAAAAAAATCTATTCTTGAAGATTTTTCAGACTTCTGATATTAATCGAAATGTCAATATGATTTTAAGTTCTGTCTATAAGTGCACGACACCCCATTTTTTTCTTAAACAAGAACTTTCCTTTGTGTTCTATGCCATACATTCAACTTCACATTTGAGTGTCTTGTAGGCTCTTCAAAATTAACATATTCTAAATGATACCCAACTTCCACAAACCCCTCTTTCAATTTTTCACATCTAAGAAAATGGCGACATAGTCCTTTCTTTATCCTCATCCCTCATCATGAAGTATGTCAATTCTGCCTTTAAAGGATGCCTCAAGTCTGTTTCTCCTTCCCCACCTTGGGCATCCCCACTCTTGCTACTGCTCACCAGAGGTGGGTCTCCCCTGTGCCATCATCTCATCTGTCACTGTTAATTCCCTTTTAGCACTTATCCCATGTTAGAATCATTTAGTTTAATGTTTTGTTTGTTACACATCTCCCTCTCTAGAATGTAAATTCTACAAGAACAGGGACTCTATTTTCATTACTGTTGCATCCCCAGTGCTTAACACAATGAATACAATTCCAGGCACACAATAGAAGCTCAACAGATATTTTGGTTACTGAATGAAAGGATTAATGAACACATAGTTTTCACGTGGAAGGATGCAACTCAAGTCAAGGAAATAGCCCCAGCCAACCACGACTGAAACAACAGAGGACCCTCTCCCTGTACACACAAACCTACCTACATTCAGCAAAGTCAGTTTCTCTACAACCTTTAAGGCACTGTGACCACTGGGACTAGCTCCCTGCCAGTGATGTTCTTTCTTTCTCCTTCTCCTGGTTAAGTGTCAAGTCACATTCTTCTTCTTTGACATGGCAGTGATACAAACTTCTTGTTTGGTAGTTTACAAAGTATATGCAGGCATAAAGTAATTACTTCAATAACTTGTGAGATGGAGAATCAAATTTTACAGATGGGAAATTTGAAGGGAGAGTGAATATGAGTTGATAAGGGCTGAAACCAGTGTGGGACCCTCATCTCTGACTACTTTGCTTTCCACATGGTTCACTATATTTTCTACCAGAAGGATAGCAAAACCAGTTTCAAAGTATTACAATGTTGTAAGGTTAGTGACAGGTAATTTGCTAAGTATAAACCTTTCTGTTGAACATCTATTTCAGAATTTTACTTAGGGTTCAGCTTGCTCATTTCTGAAGATGAGGAAAGAAACCAGACTGTCATGATTTATAACTTTTTACTGGGGCTTCTGCATATAATGATCTCATTTAGTTCTCAGAATGACCTAGGAAAATAGGTAGGATAATTTTTATTATCCTCATGTTAGAGATAAGTTATCTGAGCCTTAGGAAGTAAAAGGCTCAAGGTTATTCATTTATAAAACATTGATTAAAAGCATGGACTCTTGGTGGAGCACTACCTTTGTTTGATTCATGGTGGTAATATAATCACAGGCAAGCTCTATAACTTGCCCGCTGTGCCCCGGTTTCCTCATCAAAATGAGGATGGCATCAGTAGGCACCTCATCAGGTAAGGTGAAGATTATATTTGTTAATCAAAGTAAAGCATCTTATGTAATGTTTGGTGCATAGTAAGCTCCCAATAAATGCTAACTATCAGAAAGTGATTGAGCCATACCTTAGGCCTAGTTCTTGGCTTCAACTCTAGAAGTGTTTCTATATGCAGATTTGTCATACTTAGAAAAGCAAGTGGAAATACATTTCTTCTCAAACGCTCTTTATAGGAACATTTGAGGCCAAGGATATTTTGTTTAGATTTTTACATAACTCATACCTGCATTGCAGAGTGAAGAATTTAATGTTACTACATCTCATGAAATCACTGCATATAATGTAGTTTTGGCAGAGGGCACATGTAAGATCATAATCTCAACATAAGGAGTTGTTCTTTTCATTTTAATTTTTCTTTCCAGAATTTCATGCCTTGAGCAAATGTGGCAAATCTTATGACACATACTTGGACTTACTGTGTATCAAAGGAGAAAACTTTTTTGAACATTAGAGATTTAACATGATATCAGAGGCTGCATCAGTTATTTATTACCTTTTCTGTCTTTTTTGACTTCTGTACAGAGTGTTATTCCAAGACTTGGATTAATTTAATATAAAAAAATGAGAGTGACACCAAGAAAAGTCACGATCCTTGAAGCCCAAGAACATTATTATGGCTTTGGTTACTTCCCTAGGCATATTCAGGCATAACAAATTAATTTTACCTGTCTTTAGATGAGCTACTTCGTTTAAACAAAAGGCCTTATTGAGCAGATACCTCTTTCTTCGGATGCCCATTTTTGGCAAAATCCTAATCTCTGCCACAGTTTTTCTGTTTCTCAGGAGAGAAATTAGATTTCTTTCCCAAGGGAACTTTGATCACTACTCCATTCTCATGTTTGTTGTTGTCCGCTTGTAATCTCTATAGCTTATCTGGACACACATCTCTAATGATCTCCTGGGGGATCATGAAGTTAAGGGGCAGATCCTCAGTACCAAGGGTAGAATCTGAGGTTGGCACTGGTTAATTGTAAGTTTTCAACCACTGCCACCTCTTCATTCCAACAATAGCCTAAACAATCAAGAAATGAGAGCTGCCCGGCTTGGTGGCTCAGCCTGTAATCCTGTGCTTTGGAAGGCCGAGGTGAGTGAATTGTCAGAGCCCGCAGATTTGAGACCCACCTGGGCAACTTGGAGAGACCTCATCTCTACAATAAATCAAAAATTAGCCGGGTGTGGTATCCTGCGCCTGTAGTTCCAGCTGCTTGGAAGGCTGAGTGGAAGGATCACTGGAGTCCAGCAGGTGGAGGTTGTGACTGGGAGCAGCCACTGCACTCCAGTCTGGGAGACAGAGTGAGACTCCAACTCAAAAAAAAAAAAAAAAAAGAAATGAGGGTTGATATTAGACAATGCTATGCCATTCCCATATCCCTTCATATTGACAAAGTTTTCTTGACGCCCAGTGATAATTTTTATTCTGAGGTATTGGATTGGGTAGCAGTCTTCATCCTTGACATGTGAGAAAATCTGATCTAGTAGGCAACCCTTTTACGCTTCAAAAATTCTGGAAATGTCCCTGAATATCTTTATGTCCCCACTTTCTAAAAGGTGGGAAAATAAAGATGATCTTTTTTTTATTTTTATCTTTTTAATTTTTAATTTTAAAGATGTGGAGGTATAATTCAGGGTTAGCTATACAAATGTTCATTTTGCAGGTAACCCCACCAGCAGTTTCCCACTACTACCAATCCCACCTCTTCTCCCCGGTACTCCCCCACCCCCGGCAGTTTCCCACTACTGCCAATTCTTTTCTTATAGTAGTACAATAATTGTTCAAGGTCTTCTTATGAGTGAGAACATGCGATACTCAGTTCTTTGTTACTGTGATATATCACTTAGTATTATAGACTCTAAGTCCATCCAGGTTGCTGTGAAGTTCATGATTTTGTCCTTCTTTATGGCTGCATAATATTCCATTGTGTACATGTACCACATTTTTTATCCAGTCCTCTTTTGATGAGTAGCATGGTTGTTTCCATGTTTTTTTGCTATTGTGAACAATGCTGCAATAAACACACGTGTGCAGGTATCTTTTTCATAGAGTGATTTGAGTTCCTCTGGATGTATTTCCAGTAGGGGGATTGTAGGGTCATATAGAAGGTCAATTTTTAGATCTTTTAGAAATTGCCAAACTGTTTTCCACAGAGGTTGTATTAGTTTACACTCCTACTAACTCTGTGGAAGTATTCCCTTTTTCCTGCATCCTCTTCAGCATCTGCTGTTTTTTGAGTTATTGATGATGGCCATCCTGACTGGAGTTAGGTTAGCTCAGTGTGTTTTAATTTGCATTTCTTTGATGATGAGGCTGAGCATTTTTTCATGTACCTGCTTATATGTCTTCTTTTGAGAAGTGTCTATTCATACATTTTGCCCTCTTTTTAATAGGGTTGTCTTTTTCTTTTTGGCACATTTGAGATCCTTGCAGATCCTAGATGTTAGGTCTTTGTCAGATATACAGTTGGAAAATATTTTTTCCCTGTCTGTGGGCTGTTTCCCTGCCCTCTTGATGGTTTCTTTGGTTTTGCAGAAGCTTGTCAATTTGATGAGGTCCCACTTGTCTATCTTGCTTCTTATGGCATGGGCACTTGGAGTTTTGATCAGGAATTGGTTGCCAGTTCTAATTTCCATAAGGGTGTCTCCTGCTTTTTCTGAGGTTCTTATAGTTTGAGATTTTACATTTAGGTCTTTGATCCATTTAGTTGATTTTTGTGTATGGTGATAGGTAGGGGTCTTGTGCATGTGGTCAGCCAGTTTTCCCAGCACCATTTACTGAATAGATTCTTCTCTCCCCAGTGGTTGGTGGTGGAGGTTTTGTCGAAGATAAGCTGGTTGAGAAATTGAGGTTGTGCTTCTGGAATCTCTATCCTGTTCCATTGGTCTATATGCCTGTTCTTGTACCAATACCAGACTGTTTTGATTATTGTAGTTTTATAATAAAGTTTAAAGTCTGGGAGTGTGATACCTTCCGCTTTGTGTTTTTTTTTGGTTTTGTTTTTTTGCTGAGGATTATTTTGGCTATTCGTGGTCATTTGTTTCCATATAAATTCCTGTATTATTTCCAGGTCTGAGAAGAATGCTGCTGGTAATTTAAGGGGTATTGTGTTATATCTGTAGATTACCTTGGGTAGGATGGACATCTTAACAATGTTGATTCTTTCAACCCATGAGCATGGAATATTTTTCCATTTTTTGTGTCATCTTTGATTTCTTTTTTTTTTTTTTTT